TTCTTCTTCTTCTTCTTCTAAATATTATTATTTTATACTATTATTATTTCCCTCTATCCAGCAAACAAGATGTGGGGCTGTGGGCAGGGCTGGCGAGGTTTCAGAGGCTCATGTTACCAGATGCAGTACTCTGCAGGGGGCATGTCTTGGGACAACGCGAGGACCATCTGTGGCACCAAATATTCCAGCTTAGTCGCCATCACAGATGGGGCAGAGAACAAGTTTGTTCTCAGTCTTCTGCCAAAATGTGAGTTCTTTAATTGTCTACTTCTTTCTTTCTTTCTTTCTTTCTTTCTTTCTTTCTTTCTTTCTTTCTTTCTTTCTTTCTTTCTTTCTTTCTTTCTTTCTTTCTTTCTTTTCCTTTTCTTTCTTTTCCTTTTCTTTCTTTCTTTCTTTCTTTTCTTCTTTCTTTCTTTCTTGCCTTCTTTCTTGCTTTCTTTCCTTTCTTACTCCTTTTCTTCTTTCCTTTTTCTTAAAGTTCTTAACATTTAAAACATCTTCTTTTCACACCTTTATTAATTTCCCCTTACCTCTCCCCCCTCTTTGTTTATTATTGCTATTCTACGTCACTGAACCATTTACTTCTCTTTTTTGTCCTTTTTCTTCTCTCGCAATGATCATACCGAATCTTCCCCATCTTTAGTCTTTAGTTGCAGAGCCCTTTGTTCTGTTGAGTATAATGCCTTTTTAAAACGTTTTCTATTTTTGTTCTCTTTTTATTTTCTTATTGTAAAGTATTTCTTTCTTTCTTTCTTTCTTTCTTTCTTTCTTTCTTTCTTTCTTTCTTTCTTTCTTTCTTTCTTTCTTTCTTTCTTTTTTCTTTCTTTCTTTCTTTATTCCCCTGTTTCCTTTCTGTTCACGTTTCTCTTCAGTCATGTAGATACCATTCCCACTATTTGACTAATTATTTCATTTACGCATGCATAATTAGCACAGATCAATTAGGTAATGAAATAATGTATTAATTTATCTATCATCATATATAAAACAACCTAATAGTTACTTACACAAATGATTTATCAAATGTATCCATTCACTGCCAAATTTATCAAATGATTAGTTCCATAGTAGTCTACATAATACTTGAATAACTTCCTTTGCCGTATCTGGCTCGGGTTTCAAATTGTCTGACCACCGTTGCTATAGCAACAGTGTGCCTACTGCAGGGGTACAGTACCTAACTCAATATTTTGTTCCTAGTGCTATTTGCAGAAAGTGTGGAAGGAGAAGGTAGACTTGAATCTTGTGAATTAAGTTATCAATACATTCATTCATTTTTAGAATTTTTATTAATTGATTGATTGACTGACTGACTGATTGATTGATTGATTAACATTTGCCAACTCATGCATTCATTGAAATGGAGAACTAAGTGGATAATTGAATAATTAATCAAGTAATTCATTTATGCATTCATTGAATAGTTCAATCATTAATGTTTTCAATGAAATGGAGAAAAACATGGGTCCTGAATACCTTTGATGTAATAATGATGATGTAATAAATGACATTTATATAGCGCTCAACCCCAAATAAAGTACACAGGCTCGGAGCGCTTTACAATACAGTACAACATACAACAGTAACATAAAACGTTGGGTTCTGACTAAAGAAAATTATTCCAAATATTCATCTTATTAATTTAAAAACAGAAACGATCTCAGCTGACATTTGAATGAATCAAAAGATTTGATCTCTCTCAAAGTACTTGGTAAAGCTTTCCAGATCTTGGGGCCTTGGTATTCAAATACCCTTTCACCCATTGTTATAAGTTTCATGGATGGTAAAATAAATTTCTTTTTGATCAGCCACGAACCAATATGTGTGGATGGGCCTGAACGATGTAGGCATGGAGAACAGTTTTGTCTGGAACGACGGCACGCCCATTACATACACCAACTGGTCACCGCATGAGCCCAACAACCTGGGCGGAGAGGACTGTGTGGCCATGTACGCCAAAGTGAGTTTTTCCTTCCTTTTTTGGTTTTGTAGACAGTAAGCCACAGTTGATGCTAAAGATGGTTACTGAGCGGGCTGGAAAAAATTTCACCCCCCCCCCCCCACTGGCACACTTTTGAGATGAGATAGATAGATAGATAAATAGATAGATAGATAGATAGATAGATAGATAGATAGATAGATAGATAGATAGATAGATAGATAGATAGATAGAGATAGATAGATAGATAGATAGATAGATAGATAGATAGATAGATAGAGAGAGAGAGAGAGAGAGAGAGAGAGAGAGAGAGAGAGAGAGAGAGAGAGAGAGAAAGGAGAGAGTGAGAAGGTAAGAGAAAAGGAAAGAGGGGGGGGGGGAGGGATTTACCTTATCGTAATATATACAAATTAACTGTTAAGTACCACTTCAACAATTCTCACTGTTTTTCTTTCTTCAGACTGGCGCATGGAATGATGCTAAGTGTGCCATCAAGGCGAAACTGTCGGTGTGCAAAAAGAACAAAGCCGTCCTTAACACAGCTCAAAGAGACATTTTTAAAGGCTGCACTAAGGTAAACTAGTAAAACCTTTTTGCTTAGGCCATCATTATTCTGAAGGATCAATTCATCTTCTTTTCGAAATGAAAATTTTATTGATTCAACATGTCTTTTACTTTTAACACTGTAATTTTTTTTTATAAGCTTGCACATTTAACATTCACCCTGCCTATCAGGGACAACTTGGGCTAAGAGGGATACAGCGTACTCACTCGGAAATCGAACTCATGTCTTATTTATTCGACAGCGAAGCACCTAACGAGTGCACCATAGATGCCGATGGCGCCGTCTGTCACTGATATATTGTGTTTCAAAGTGGTGGAATCAGGCGCTCGTCGGCTTTTGCACAAATGGAGTTGTTGATATAGTCATAAAGCTTATTTACCTATCTGTCTTTCGAAGATAAAGGTACCCATCTATTTTGAATGGAAGCAGAGATATTTGCGACTGAAAGAGGTGGGGTTCGTCTCGTCTAAGAGTTCAGTTAGCAAGACAATGTTTGCCAAAGTTTGGTGACTCCAGTAGCTAAAGAGTTTTGGAAACTAAAAATTTATATTTGTTGGTGCCTTTAATCACCCCCCCCCCCTCAATAAAATCCATAATAGCATGTTGAGCAGTTTTGTGCATGTGGGGTTGTTGATATAGTCATAAAGCTTATTCATTTGTCTGTCTTTTCATGGAAAAGATATCCATCTATTCTGAATGGAAGCAGAGATCTTTGCGACTGAAAACGTTGGGGTTCATCTCGTCTAAGAGTTAAGTTAGCAAGGCAATGGTTGCCAAAGTTTGGTGACTCCCGTAGCTAAAGAGTTCTTAGAAACTAAAAATGTATATTTGTTGGTGCCTTTAATCACCCCCCCCCCCAATAAAATCCACAATAACCTGTAGAGCAAAATAAAAGAAATAGATAAAAATTGCCAAAACGGCGCGAACATGCTGGTATCTTCAGTTTCATTATATTGACGCCCTCTGATTTCAGCATGATGCAATAGTTGTTGTGTGCGAACTAATTCCCATGAAAATGTCATTATTATTAAATAAAAAAATAAATGTAAAACTTTGATCTTTGTTATCGTGGTACAGAGAACAAAACTTGACTCAGTACAAAAGAGGTTGGTTATAACAGTACTAGAGGTCGCAGTAAACTCAATACGGCTGTGCGGGCCCACTCAGTTCACTTTGTCGCCATTTTTGAGAGGATTAGAAACAACGCCGGCACGCTAAGCGTTCCTTGCAACGCCTAGGTCTTCATAGAGTTTGAAGCTCAGTTCCATTTTATTTAAGTTTTCTTTTTGTTTGCTGTTGTTGTTTAATCATATAGAATACATGCATACACAATACCGCACCTGCTGACTGATTGTGTGAAACATAACTACACTTAAATGTGGGCTACAAGTAAACAGAAAGATGTTACTTAAGGTATTTTTTGTTTTTTCTGGGTGGGGTGGGGAAGGGGTGAAGGGAGACAAAGTGAGTAATTGAGTTTGTTAAGAAAATGGACAATTTCATACTTACAAAATGGATTGCTTTTATGGCATATTGTCTATGTCTACACTCTCTTTCTACTTATGCAAGGCCTAGGTCTTCATAGAGTATGGAGAGGGTTAAAGACTGGGTTAATTATTGAATAAATCAATTCGCTATTGTCTCAAAATTAGCAATTAATTGTAGGCTGGGATACTGAAAATCACTCATTGTATGGATCCTGTGCGCACACCCTGAGAGCATTGTTTAATATCGGACACAAATAATATACTGGCAACATTTTAAAATGCAACGCTTGGATAAATAGCCGTTCTATCTTAAATAGTCACAATACTTTCTAAAAGTGGTGTTGATTGGCAATGGTGTTTGGCTACACAATACCCCATCATCCATGAACCCCTGCTGCTGCTGCTGCTGTTGCACATTATGCTGTTTGACATCGGTTCCGCAAATGAGACAGAACATTACGCGGGTCTTATTGGTGGTTAGTTACGTCTGGTTGACTACTTTGTATTTCTTCTCATCTCAACAACATCAACAGTTGTTCTTTTCCGTTCAGCCAGGCTTGAAGGTGTTCAAGAGTTGCAGCTGAAGCTTCTAGCAGTTTCTCAGTCATTCAGAGGGCCTATACGAGCGCCTTGTTGTGTTCAGCTGTTTAAGCATCGCACAGCAAAAGATTTTTAATGAAATTATGTTTTTCATTTTAATAAGTGATCATCAGATTCATCTCATTTATTTTTTTCTGAATTTCACTCACCCATGTGGTCTCACCGTGTAAAATGCCTTAATTGAATTATTTGGAGATTATATAGCTCATTTAAAGGTAAACAATCACAAAAATCCATATGAGTACATTTTAGCGATGGGCAAATCACATAAAAAGGAAATCAACATCAAAAGACTTCGCAGACTATCATAATCCGTGATTGAAAAGTTGTTGTGCACCGACTGGCCTTTTATTCCTCTCCGAAATGGCGTGGTGCCCCTCAAGTTTGACACTCCTGACGTCACAGCTAAGACCTGTAATTCGATCTATAACCTCTTTGCTCAGTACTAGATTTTTTGCATCACATGATTCTACACTGATTCTCTCTTTCCTCTACAGGGTATAGGGTATGAGGCAATGTGTTACAGCTTTGTATACCAACCGGCTAAGACCTTTGCTCAGGCCCAGGCCTACTGTAAGAGCTTCGGTGGGAACCTGGCCACTGTAAACGACAGGTGAGTTCTCTGTCAAGTGTGGTAATGTGCTGTGTTGTTATTGTATAAGTGGTACGTTTGGTAATAGTATAAGTGCACACATGTTTAGTGGTGTGCCCGTTGGATATGATGGAGTTCTTGTTTGGTTTTCATACTTTAAAAAAGACAATGGGACACAACAAAGAATCCAACATCGTCATTATAGACCAGTAGAAGGCTTTTGACAGAGTAAACCATGCAAAACTCTGGAAGACACTCGAAAAGTATGGCGTCAGAGGACATATGTTAGGTAATGCCAGAGCTTTATACACCAACAGCAACAGCTCAGTAAGAACAAAGGAAGGTAATACAGACTGGTTCATCGTAAGATCTGGAGTACGACAGGGATGCATTCTAACTCCCCTCATGTTTATGAATATGTATAGACTCAATAACACGAGACGCAGACCAAAGCCCATAAAGCCTAAGTGAACTTTTATTTGCAGACGACCAATGTCTTATTCATCCAAACCAACAAAGCCTCCAAAATCTCACTACCGGACCGAAAAATAGCTGCGAGAAATTTAACATGAAAATGAGCACAATCAAAATAGAAGTAATGAAAGTGTGCCGAACCCGTAGTCCCCTGAACATCCATGTCAATAGTAGACAACTGAAACAGGTGAAGAAGTTTAAGCAGTACTTTTTCTGAAAAAAGGTTCATGAACAGAGAAATAGAAATGGGAACTCAAAAAGCCAACGCTGTCGCCTACCAGCTCGCACCCCTCCTATCTCATCTAAACATCTCCATGGGCACAAAGAGACAACATATCACCTCAATATTGCCCGACCTGGACATTAAGTAAACCCATGAAAGCAAAATCACTGCATGCTAAATGAAATGTCTCCGCAAAACCCTTAACATTACAAGACGAGACAGGCAGAGAAATGAAGAAGTAAGAGCAGCTATCGGCATTGAGCCCTGTCTGCATTGCATAGAAAGACAGAGAATAAAATGGTTTGGCCATGGGTACGAGCCTACAACAAAAAAGCACTCAGGCAAAAAGGAAGGGGAAGGCCACTCAAGAAGTGGATCTAGGGTGTCAAGGAAACCCTGAGAAAATATAATATTAGAACTGGAAGAGCTTCGGAGCTGTCCTATCATAGAAAACTGCATCTCCCCTCGACGATTAACAGAGGACGAAAAAGTAAAGTAAAAGTAAGTAAGTACTTTAAAACTGCTTTTACGCCCCCATCTACACAATTTAGGTAATTCAGGTGGTTAGCTTCAGATCAGTTCAGAGAGGGATACATCCCAGCAGAAAGATATACTGAGCAGATAGAACTTAGTAATTCTAAGGTAGCGATATGCAACTCGGGTGACATACTAGTATCTGGGTAAGGCCGTTACTCACAAAAGACCTGGTTTTGATTCCAGCCTAATGAAGTTAATTGTACCGAGCATCTCTATTTTTCTACTTGGATGCTGTATCCCACTCAGCAAGGGACTAGCCTTGACAGAAAGGGTAGGAAAAGAACACCTCCAAAATGATCTTAAAATATTACTGGTACATGGCCGTTTAATGTTTATTTACAATCAATAAGAATCCTTTATTGTCTCCTGCAGATATGTACAATCATTTTTAGCTGCTGAAATTGTACCAAAACTTGGAGTGGGGTACTGGATTGGCATGTCCATGACAGCACAGACCAACTGGACTTACGCCTGGGTCACTCCTTTCGATGTGGACTTCACAGCCTGGGACAAATCTCACACAGGTACAATGGGAAGTCGCATAAAAATGTAAATTTAATGGGGGGGGGGGGGGGGGGCTCTCATGGCCTAAAGGTTAAGGTGTTCGCCTCTCATTCAAAGGTCCCGGGTTCGATTCCTGGTGGCGACCGAAAAAAATTCTTCTAAAAATTGTCTCTTTTCACCTGTTTTCCTTCTCTCCAGCAATATTCTGTCGTCTGCTTTCGTCTCCACTTTCTGCCCCCACCCCCTCACCTCCTTTGTCTCCTCCACTGGGCTCTTGATTCTTTCTGCCTCCTTTCTACTGCTACTCCTCAGCTCATTCTTACTGCTGTCTTTCAGCCACATCCCTGAACTTCTGGAAGGAAAGATTTACAACTAGCCTCGAACAAGGGCGAAAAATTTCGGAGGTCCAGTGAGCAAGTTGCGCACGTTAAAGATCCCTTGGTGGTCTAAAATCTATAAGAGTAGCCATTGGCCTCCATCAGTGCAAAATTCAAAATTTCCTACCAACTGAAAATGTTTAATGTGTCCCACGCTCTCTTATGACCTTATGTAGTTGCGAGCGCCGTAAAACACTTACCAAAACAAAACAAACAAAAATGAAATGGCAGCATAGACACAAGAAATCCTTTGTGTTTGAATAAGCTGGTAATAATAATAAATGATAATAATAATAATAATAATAATAAAATAAATAATAATATTAATAATAATAATAATAATGATAATAATAACATAATAATAATAACAATAACAACAACAATAATAATAATAATAATAATAATAATAATAATAATAATAATAATAATAATAGTACTAATACTAATAATAATACTAATAAAAACAATAATAGCTAGCATTTTTTAAAGCGCAAATACCGCTCAGCATCAAGCTCTATGCGTTTCGCAATATTTTATATTATTGCCCCAGCATATATGATATCATTCAGCAGCAACCTCAACTTTCTGGGAAGCATACAGTGCAAGCTGCCATTTAAAGGCCCTAAAATACTAACTCACTGACAAGATCTTTCGCTGCCTTTAGCGGTTTATCAATTGTTACCTGGATGAAGTGAGGAAAACTCATGTAAAGTGCTATTCCCAGGGACACTCACATCGGGCCTGCGGCTCAAACCCCCGAGCCCACAACCTGACGGTTAGAGTCCGGTCACCTTACCACAAGACAAGCGACGTTTAACCCATCCACTATCCATACAAGCAGGTGATGACTCATGCACTGTCACTGTTTGGAACAGCAGTTGATTTGTTTAGAGTAGGCTCTACAGGAACGATTTACGTTATTTATTATTACAATACACGTTTTCTTCCTCCTGTCCACCAGGCAATGAGAACAACACCTGTGTAGCTATGCAGAAGAAACGACCGGCTGGGTTGTGGGTCAACAAGAACTGTAACCAAGCTCAGAGCTACATCTGTGAATATCCGAGACAGGGCTACACCACACCAGTGCCCACCACCACCACCACAGCCAGGCTGCTCTGTCCTACTGGCTGGTTCACTGTTTGGAACCGTTGCTATAAAGTAAGAGAAATGTTTGAGAGCAATGTAGCTTCCTGGCCCTAATCATCACTATCAAGAACGTCTCCCCCCTTTCTTTTCTTCTTCTTCTTCATCATCATCATCATCATCATCATCATCATCATCATCATCATCATCATCATCATTGTCTAGAAAGCAGAGTAAGAGGGAGAGTCTTGTATGAATAACATAACAATAAAAAATGTGTAAAATTTGTTTAATGGCTCAACGTTTCGCCTCATGGGCTTCCTCAGGAGCAACTGAGAGAAAAACTAAATGAACGCTGTATACTAGCAGGGAAATGGGCCTAACGAAGAGGGTCTTAAGATTATGTGTAGTTACAGGAAGTGACTAAGAGGGAGCCAGGCCAAGGGGCTAATTATAAAGAAATTGATGCTTGTCTAGCAAGATTATCAATTTTATTTCTACGAGAGGCTGACAGGAAGTTTAATTGTGTGAACGTGGAATGAAAGAGGGAAATGTTTGGGCGTACTTTATAGAGGCATCCTAGTTGAAGGCAAAAGGACAGAGACAGAAGAAGGGTATGTGTGTGTGTGTGTGTGTGTGTGTGTGTGTGTGTGTGTGTGTGTGTGTGTGTGTGTGTGTGTGTGTGTATGTGTGAGAGAGAGAGAGAGAGAGAGAGAGAGAGAGAGAGGGAGAGAGAGAGAGAGGGAGAGAGAGAGGGAGGGAGGGAGAGAGAGAGAGAGAGAGAGAGAGAGAGAGAGAGAGAGAGAGAGAGAGAGAGAGAGAGAGAGAGAGAGAGGGAGAGAGAGAGAGAGAAATTATTATTACTATTATTATTATTATTATTATTATTATTATTATTATTATTATTATTATCTGCAGGCCTTCCAAATGAGTCCGGAGAACATGCTGACGTGGACAGATGCCAGAGATTACTGTGCCAGCCTCTGGACCGGCGGTGCCTTGGCCACTATCCGGGGCAAGACCTTCGAGGGCTGGATGTTGAACCATACTCTCCAGTACGTTGAACTATAGTTGTGTCTGTATGTGTGTAAGCGTGTGAGTGTATGTTTGTGTGTTTTTGTGTGTGTCTCTGTGTGTGTTGTGTGTAAATGTGTGTGTGTGTGTGTGTGTGTGTGTGTGTGTGTGTGTTGTGTGTAAATGTGTGTGTGTGTGTGTGTGTGTGTGTGTGTGTGTGTAAGCGTGTGAGTGTATGTTTGTGTGATGTAAGCGCACCTCCAGATTGATCTAAATTGTGTTGATTGAGGCGTACAGCGCCAACACACCCCCTCCCCCAAAACAAACAAACACACTAATAAAAAACAAACAAACAAGCAAAGAACAAACGAACAAAGAAAACCCCCAATCACAACAACAAGAACAAAAACACCAACAAAAAAGAAAAACCCACAACAAGAAAGAGACAACAACAACAACAACAACAACAACAACAACAACAACAACAACAACAACAACAACCTCTCCCCCCCCCCCCTCTACGAAACCAGAAAATGTGGGCAGCATGAATTTGTAAGTTTCAGAAGCTAAACCATTTTTTTGACGCAGCTAAAACTGACAGAACAGAATGACTCACATATTGTTCTTTGTCGTAGACAGTAGTTTTTGAAACTGTGTCAACTTTTATCTTCAGAAATTTAATAGTGTTTACAGGGGAGTTAAATCTACACCACATCATCATTTTCTTCCGAAATTCTAAATATAGAAGGCGGCTTCACACCATTGGGCTTTTAAAGCTTTTTGGCAAAGCTCTCTTAATTTGGTGACATAAAAGCTATGATATTATATTCTAAAGAGAATTGAAGTTTTCGAATAGACAGTGGAGTGTGTTTATCGTATCATAATAATATTGTTATGGTATTATTTCAGAAATATGCAAGATATATTTTGGATTGGTCTTTCGGACCGCAGTACTGAAGGAGGTAAGTTGCAAAAATATCTCTGCTGTTTCAGATTTCAGACTGAAGATGTTTTTATTATATCCTGTTCAAAAATATCTTAGCAGTATTCTACTATCACCCCCCCTCCCCTTGAGTTATTATTCTTGGCCTACACATTTGGAAACTGAAGAAAGCATGGAAGTAACATTTAGTATTTTGAATTTTGTCTTCTTAGTTCCTAGTGATGATGTTCACTAGTCGAAAAGTATACTAATACTATTGTAAGAAGGGATTTGTGACGCTCAGAGTAAAATAAAAGAAAAGTAGCCTGTTTCTTTCCTTGCCAATATCATACAAACCTCTTCCCTAGATTTACAAAGTTTTATCTGCTCAGCGCCTATTTTGAGAAATTTTACGTTTAAAATGTTGTTTCATAACATCTCAAGCTTTTTCGAATGCAATTAAAAATTTTAAATATCTTAACGACGACTTTGAATAGTCTTATGATTCTTATAGAGCAGATAAAACATTTTTGTTTTATGCAAGCGAGGAGGGGTAGGCCCAGAACAACATACTTGGGGAACCTAAACAAATGGGTAACAGGGAAAGATCAGGGAAACGTAGCATTTTTGAGAGCATCGGAGCAAACGAAAGAATGGAAAACCATGATCGCCGATGTCTGTCGCAGATCTGGCACTGGATGATGATGGTGGGGGTGTATAATACTTACATCTAAAACATTTCCTTGTCTCACTCATTAGGTCTCTCTTTCAATCCTCCTGTGTCTCTCTATATCTGTGCCTGTACATCTGTCTGACCTTCTCATTCTCTCTTTTACTTTCTCTCTCTCTTTCTCCCATCTCTCACCCCGTCTTTTTCACCATCTCTATCTATCTCTTTCTCTCTTTCTTTTTCCTTCTTTTCCTTTTAAATCTTTTTGTCTTACTCTGTCTTTCTTTCTCGTCCTCTATGCCTGTCATTTTCTTTCTTTTTCTATCTTTCTTTCTGTCTTTCTCCCTCTCCCCCACCCTCTCTGTCTTTTCCTCTCTATATTTCCTTTTATCTGTCCTTAACTCTCTTTCCTCCCAATCTATCTCTCCCTCCCCCTCTTTCCTTCTCCCCTTCTCCCCCTCCCTCCTTCCCCCCCCTACAGCAAGAGCCACACATTCTGTCATTCTGTCACCTCACATGTCCCACCAGGATACAAGTGGGAGGACGAGTCCCCTTTCTCCTTCTCACATTGGGGAACCCATCAGCCAGACGACGCTGGAGGAAAGTGAGTGTTGCTTTTTTCTCAATGAAAACACAAGGAAATAACAGCTCTTCCTTGATTTTATGCTTCTGTTAAACTTGAAGCTAGCTAGACAGAAAATTACAATAGTGTTACACACCGTTTACAGTTCATGGAGAAAGAATGATCTCATTGAGCCAGGGTGTCAATGGTCTCCCACCCCTTGTATTCTCATTCCAGGAGCTGTGGTCACAACACCAAGTCCTGTGTTCTTCTCTGGCTTTCACACGATTAGTATGCAGTAAAGCAAAAATAATTGTTAATTCTATAAAGTGTACTCCAACTGCGGGTCAAAACATGTTTGTATCTCTGAGGTCTGGCGTGTCTCTGCACTGTCTGCCTGCTTAGGAAATAGATCAGACGGGCTGAAGTTGAGAGACATGAAGTTGGAAAAAATGCGGTAGGCATGGGCAGTGTGAAATATATTAAAAATTTTTCTCTCCTCTGTTTTTAGCAGTCCAGGTTAAAATGATAGATGAATATGAATAACATTCTACGATGATTGATCCATGAGAAAAATTTGAATTTACAAAGGTGTACATACTTTTCATAAGTAGATGTATATGAATACATTAGTTCAACAATTCATCAGTGACACACAACACACAATACTACATCAGTACAGACAATCTGCACGACATTACTCCTCCCCCACTACCTGCTACCAACACAAACATGTATGCCGCTCGGATCTTTCTTCAGAGAGGACTGTGTCACCTGGAACACGGCGAAGAACACCTGGAATGATGAGACGTGCTACGTGGCCCACAACTTCATCTGTCAGGTTCCCAGAGGTCGGCCAATGTTTCAGACTCCAATTTATATATACCAGGTTTCTTCTTCTAAGACTTTTGTCTGTAACAATTTGGCTGGTAGTTCGTATAATTCTGG